CTCTCTCTCTCTCTCTCTCTCTCTCTCTCTCTCTCTCTCTCTCGACCTTAGTCCTCTATTACAAGCCAACCGCAGCCTCAAGCCTACTACTTTACATTACAAGAAACGCAACCCCCTCTTCAACGAAATCGGGACAGCTAGCAGCGAGCGAGAAAAAGCAGGTCTCCTTTCCGCTGCAGATATATAACGAAGCGTTATTGTTGTCTACACTACAGAAGCGTCGAGGAAAGGCGAGATAGAGCCTAGCCTACAGGCGGGGCTTTGCTGGTTTTAGCAAGTAAAGAGTTATGCGAGACAGGGTGGCTGTGCTTAAGTTTTCGTGAAGGGGGGAATGTAACGGCTTTCATCGGCTTTTGTGCTGTGTCAATGTCGTGGAGTCTTTGGCTCAGAGACGTTTGATGGGTTAAGAAGCGGGTTGCTTTTCTCCACGCATCGTTTCAGGTAGGTGGATAATGTAAGCAATCGTGTATTAGAGTAGAGCAAACTTTGCACAAAATAATATTGAAACGCGAGATATTGGATAGGCTTTGAAGTGAAGACACTTCACTGGCCTCTTTCACTTTTGCCGTGTGAGTGAAACAACAAACCGTTTAGAGATGTTGTTTGAAGCAATGTAAAATGTGGTAAAGGGCACGATAAATAGGCCGACAGCATCTCACTTGGGTGTACAGTTTTTGCCAAGCCTTTGATAGACTAATATCTTTGTATAGAATGTTGGAGTCTTGCTGGGTTTGTGCGCACAGAAGGCTACAAATAACGCAACATAGATAATAATAATATAATAATATATTTTACACGTACCTATAGGCATACACGGACTTTCGACGGTTCAGTTCTCGCTAGAATGCAACTGAATAGTGTTTATGTACAAGTTTAGTTGGGTTTGTGAATAGAATAATATGCTGTATGGGTCTTTTCTGCCTGTGATTGTGAAGTTTTGTTGTTGTGTGGTTTTGGTAAAAGTTGTTGTTGCTGTTGTTGTTGTTGTTGTTGTTGTTTTTAATCTTGCTGCTGTTGAGGCCATTTTATTGTTTTTCCTTATCTCAGTTTGCTGTTGCATAAAAATTTGAACGACAGAGAAGGAAGGTAATTCCATATGGAAGAGAGAGAGAGAGAGAGAGAGAGAGAGGAG